GGTCAAGGACTTTGCACCCGTCTCTCATGTTGGACAAGCACATGGTGACAGTAAGATATACCTGTCTGTTTTAACAGGAAAATTCAAGCAGATCCAGCCATACCTGACTGGGGTTCAACAGGATAAAGCAGATACAGAAAAATGAATGTCTTCATCCAAGAGAAAAGCAGTTTTGCTGCCATGAATAGGAAACACATACGTTATTGGCAAAGGTAACTCTTTCATTGACTGCGCTGGTGCAGATGATATTAAATATATTTGGAAAACAGTCCATATGTATGAATCATAGTGCAGCAATGTACACATTTAAACACAAGTACACTTCCATGGGACAGAATTAATGAGCACTTGGTTACCATGGAGACTCTAAAGGCATGACAGTGAAGAGACAAGCCTGACCAAGGAGTCAAAATAGAGAAGAAGAAGAAGAAAGAATATTTTTTTCTGCCTCAAGGAACACAGATGAGACAGCAGCTATTGGATTTTCAGCATTTAATGGGAGATATTACTTCATAAAAAATTTAAAAATCAGTGAATCATAGTACAATTTCTTACAGTCCCAATATTGTTAATAAATTACCTGTTTTTCTATTTGAACATTCATGCAAAAAAACTGGCTTAAATATGTGGTCCATACAGAAAAATTAGCATATCATTTTTAAAATCCTTCATAAGCCAGTAATAACCAGTTATAAGACAATTACAAACAAGTTTTATGTTATTACAGGCCTACAACTTGGAAGTGTTCTGGTTCTTTTAACTTATCTCTTGGCAATGAGATAAGTCACTTGTACACTCTGTTAATGTTTTTTAGATTAGTTTTGCTTAAAAACTAATTACTTAATTGTTTATAAATCATTTATGAAGGGTGTGTTATTATAAAATGGTATCTAAACTTTTCATTGTATTGACTACTATCAGCCTCTCCATAACACACCATTATAAACATGTGATCTCTGTACTCTAGTTTACTTTGGATGATTTGAATGAATTGGTCATTAGAACATCTTTTGACCTTTCATCAATGAACTTGAATAATATGCCCATGTAAGCTTTATATAACCCCAGTCCTTCTGTGCATTAAATATTATTTCTTATGACGCTTGTGAATCAAGTATGCTGCTGATTATGTGCAAATTGTACTGATTGTTGAACCTCTTTTACATAATGCTGAATGCATGCAGAGTTAAACTCATATGAGTCAGCAAGACAAAGATAGTTTTACATGGTAGGGTGTGGCCATGCTGATTTTCTTAAACAATCCCTTTCGATATGTGCAATATAAATCTGACATGGATTGAAAATGATTTACAGAGGAAACCAACAGCTGACCCACTTGTCCAGTGTTTATACACTCTTAGTTTTATGAAGGGTTATTTAACTTGGTGCGGGCTCTGATTTGATAAGGGAAATACTTTGGAAAGGATGTGTCAATAGTTTATCCATATCAAAACTAAAACTAAGGTAACTGAAGCGCAGCATAGTGAGTCTGAAACTGTCTATCCAAAAGCATTAGGTAGTCTGCTTTAGTACTGTAAACGACTATAATTCACAAGCGGTAAGATTAGTTTCTTATTTTGCTTTTGTAAGTGGTATTTATATTTATTTACATGCTAAAGTGGTGATGGGTGCTTTGTACTGCGGCTAACAACCCACACCTGCCTCTGCACCCACAGGACCTAGTGACCAACTCTGTCTTTGTTTTAGTTAGAATTTTAAGCTTTAAATATTCTAAAATGTCACTAAATTTCTGCATATAAGGTAAACAAAGTATTAAAATAATAGTATTATGAAAGGGTCTTTAAGGCAACATAAAGTGCGAGATAGGCCGTGGGGCAACAAGAGGGTGGCCACGGCCAACCTGTGCAATTCCCTGCCCCCCCCACTGGTCATGCTACTCACAGTGTAAGTTCTAGTAGCATCAGTTAGCATTTCATCCCATTATGCACGGCCAGCGACGTAACATTAAAAATCACACAAATAACCAAGATATGAATAGGTGTTTAATTAAGTCTTTATGATTTCTACAGGCAGGTTTACCACAATAATCAATTCAAACCCTAAAATTATGGCTTTTAGTGTGCTACCCCAAGATTTTAAGTGGTCTCATCTGGCCACACCTATGAAAAAATTTGTGGAGGCGCCACTGGAGATAGTAACAAAGAGCATCAGAAATAACTACTGCAAATTTTTTAGCAATACAAACACTAGCCCAAATGCATTTCTGTATAAATATATATATGTGGAAAACCAAGACAACATAGGTCATAAATGTTAATTCTGAAGAAAATTATGTGCAGTTTAAAGTAACATAAAAAACTCTTAATAATATTGTCCTTTTTTGATTCTGATACTGTCATTATCGGGACAGATGGACCCAGTATTCAAGGTGAGACAGTCAGTAGGAAAGTTCAAAACGTTTATTAAAAAAAAAACTTAACAGAAATGGGCTACTGTGGATCTATGGACCTGCAGCAACTGCGGGAAAAAGGGGTGCACCATCTAATAGCTGACACTCTCCGTAGCGAAAAACACAGGTAAGTGACCATGGTAATCTGACAGGAGATGATTATTAGTGTGAGTCACTAACCTGGTTAGACAGTTCAGTCCGAACTTTTTGAAAGAGGTGAGATCCAGCTGATGGGCTGGCGCCGCCCAGAGTGTCCCAGATGATGCAGCCTCAGAGAACATACAGGAAGCCAATCCAGGTCAGGGGAAAACAGAGCAGGCCGGAACAGTCCAGGAAGTCCACAGCTGATCCGAAGTTTCGACCCAAACAGGAATACAAGGATCCAGACCTCGAGGAATCCACAGAGCGTTCAGGCAGTTTCAGAGTCCACAGTCAGACCACTGCAGAAGCGTGCACACATAGACACGCACAGATGCAGACATGCAGGCTCAGTGGGAGAGAGAATAGAGACAAGACGTTGGATCAGAATTTCTGCAGGAAACTTTAAACTGGTCTCCTTCCAGGATTACAGGAATAAAACTGACCTTCTCTACATTCCGAGCCAAAACCCTGAGGGTGCCACCGAGAAGGACCAGTAACAGTAAAACAATAAAACACATGGAATAAAACTAAAATTACCAAACAGACAAACGGAAGTCAAATAATGATCTGTCCCCGATCGCTCAGGCCGAACCGAATATTCAGCATAGACACAGGTGGAAAAAGGAGTGAAAATTAGGAACCAGGCAGAACTAGGCAGGTGAGAGAAATTAACAATTAAGGTAAAGCTATCAGGCCAGATCATGAAAGATACTCCCTGATGAAATTCTACCAATTACTTCAGTCATGTAGCAAACAGAGCTTACATTGTTTAGCTAAACCACGGTATAAACACTGCCCTATGAAGGCTTCAAAGGTTTTATGTAAAACAGTGGCAAACGAGCTGCATCACGGAGACCAGGATACACAGTAGATACGTAGGTCAGGGACAAACATTAGCATGACAAACCTTGAACATTTTACACGGTCTATTGAAACTCCATGCAGTCTGCAGGAAAATGTAAAGCAAGGCTGCAAATTTGCCTAGACACGTCTATTTAAATTAACAGCGTATATAAAAGAATGATAATCAAAGTAGACAAGGGGTGGCCTATAATTCATGAGGAGCTGCAGAAATCCATGGCTCAGGTGTGGTGAAAGATTGACAGAATAACTGCTTGAATCTTGGCCTTGTAGAGGCCAACATAAAGATGAAACAACAGGAACTCACAGATTGCTCCTCCCTATAACTCTTAATGGTAAAACAAAATTTAATTTACAGCAATCAATAGTGTTTTTTTTTCTTTGAGGGAAAAACTAGATTTGAAGTTATAATTTATGAAAAAAAATGAAGTTATTTGAGGTTAAAAAAAAAGTTCTTAACTTTATTGGAAACTTTATCAGTGGTGGTTCATTTGCAAGTAAGTTTAACTATTGCTATCTCTCTAGTTAAAGAAAGTGGCAGATTTCAGTCTTAGACCTGATTGACAACTTGGCATTGACCTAAGAAAAGATGCTGCATAAGGAAATGGCTCCCAATATAAACAGAGGGAAACCTTTTTCTCTGTATTAAAGCAATTACCCCCATGCTTATTACCTTTAATTATCACATTTTCAGTTCATTCTCCCCGAAGATTTCAAAAAGCAAATCATTACGCATAGATCTAAAAGAATTGTATAACAGATTACAATGCTAATGACTTGTTTAACTCTGGAACACGTTAAAAGTCAATTCCCTAACTTTGGAAGAGGCACAGTGAGAGGCATTTTCAACAAAGAGAGAAAAGATGCAGCATGTTGTACTGTCCCAAAAGTGGTCTGCTTACAAAATCTACTCCAAGAGTGCAGTAACAACTCATAAGTTGAGTCTTAAAATAATTTGTAGGGCAGAATTAGATGCAGGGATTAGCCACTTTTTCACACAGCAGCTTGTTGGTTGTTTTTTTCCCCTCCGTAATTAATCAGAACATCATTTGAAAACTGCTTTTTATATTCACTCAGGATTTCTTTAATCTGATAACATCATTTGTTTGTCACAATATCTGTGTGTGACAAAAATGCAAAAGCAGAAAGCAGTTAGGGGGTAACTCATTTTTCATTGCATGTTTTTAACTAAAGTAATTAAAGCACAACCCGGTTCAGTTGAGTTAACATGTTATACAAGCACAAATGAATAAAACACATTAGAACATTGTCCACAGATTGTCCAATCCTTTATTTTTATCTTGAAAAACCTGTTGACTGGAGTTTGCAGCAAAATTCATCAGATAATGACTTTTGTCCAGTCTTCTTGCTGTGTTGAAACAGGATTTTGATTGTTAAAAAAAGGCACAACCTCATCAAAACCTGGTGGATTTCTTTTTATTATTATTTATTTTGCGACTAGAAATTTTGCTGTCTGAAATCTATAGGGCACTTGATCCTCTGGTACCAGCCAAATATATTCATTTATCATCTTTGCCACCAGTTCAAGTCATAAGACATCATGAAAAAGACAAATAGATGTAACAAAATAAAAAAATCCCCATCCCTACCCCAAAAAAGGATCAATGTCATAAATAAGGAGCAATTTCCCTTGTAAAGACATAAACTCTGAAAAAAACTAAATCTGAAGCATTTAGTTAAAGAATAAAAATAAAAAATGTCAGTGCATTTTCCTGCCATGTAATTTAATCACCCTTGCAATAAAGCAATGGCCTGAAGAACAAAAACACCAAATACCAACCCTCCATAGAAAAAAAAAAATTTTAAAATTAAACTGAATTCACAGCCTTCTCTTTGTGTATGTTTACATTTAAAATAACACAAAAATAGACAGAAAAGGCACAAAGAACTACAACTTGAGTAATACTAAGGGAATTTCTTTTTATGATGAAACATTTTGGTCATTTACAGATTTATTCATACTCCTTTTTTTTTTACATATATTCAAACAGACATTGAGATTAGCAGTATCCAATCAGATACTATATATATTTGTATATGCATATACATTTATATAGAGATTTACAGGAACGACAGAAAAAAGTGCATTTTTATAACAAACCTGAATATTTCCAAAGAACAAACATTTAAGTTAACGATTGTATTGAAATCTGTATAAAAAACAAAGCAATAAAAAAAAAAAAAAACAAGACTAGTGTAGCAACCAATAAACCAAAACTGGATGTCAGACACATCAAGGTGTCAACAATGTTAAGTGCTCTGTTCTGTGTCTCCTTTAGCGTCTCCCTCCACCACGTCCTCCCGCTCTGGTGGCGCTCCAGCCGCACAGCAGGCTACAGAGGCTGCTATACCGAGGGTAGTTTCTGAAGTCTTTGTGTCTCTGGCAGAGCCTTCGGTGGTCTCTGTGGTAGACCCTTGGGGGTGGACGAAGCTGTGTGAGCTGCCATATTGCTTTGAGTCTGTGGTCTCCAACTTGGGTTTGGAAAAAGTAGGGTCTGTGCTGAGAGAATGGCGGCTGGCTCCTGCTGCCTGAAAATCTGACCAGGTGTCTCCAGGAGTCCTTAGCCCTTGAGTCCTGGGGGTCCCGCCCCAGTGTGTCTCAAATCGGGACATCGATGGCCCCTCTAGTGGAGGAGATGTTGGAGATGAGGGAGTAGTTGGGTGGGACCTTGGTCTGGCCTGTACCATTTGGATCCCACCGATGGGTATCATCAGGCAGGGGACCTTTGCTTGCTGGGAGTGCATGGGAAGATGACTGAAAATGTGGTCTGTTGCTTGCAGGCCAGGATAGGCCTCGCAAGTAGAGAGACGGAAAGCTGATGGGAAAAGTCTGGTTTCTGAAAGTGTTGGCCTCTCTCTTGCTGCACCACTTTTCTCCTGCAGGGGGAGCACACACATTAATTTTAAAGGAGGCTCTAACTTTAAGACAATGATTATTTCCTCGTTTTAAAATTGAAATCTAATTATCACCATAATAACAAACTTTATTTAAAGTAAAGCTCCTTTTTAGACTTTTCAATCTCCGGCTTTATAATTCTTGCCTGTAGAGCCTTGTAAAAACAGCCATATTTGCTTAATCTTAAAAGGTTGGTTCTTACCACAACACAATTCAATGGTTTTTTAAGGGCTTAATAAGTCATAGATAATCTAAAAGTAGCAAAAAGTGTGAAAAACGAGGGATATATTTGTATTTGGTCCCCCAAGAGCAAACTTTACCATCATAAACTTTAAGATGAGCAGAATAGCTTGAATTAGATTAAGGGCTGGAGTTGTACCTGCCTATTACATATGATTATGCATTTATCTACACCAGCACTGTAGCCCAGGCTGTATGTTTGGAGTGTTTAAAATCTTCTACAGCCCATCTTTAGCTCCGTCCATCGTCCAATCCACTTTGAGTAGCTTCCCCATCCCTACCACCACTGTGCTTCACTGCACATTCAGCATCATGTGGAGATTTTTTTTACACCAAATAAATTATCAATCTCCAGTAAAACTAATGTAAGGCAAGGCAAGGCAAGGGATGTTTATTTGTATAGCACAATTCAGTACATGGACAATTCATAGTGCTTTACATTGATTAGATAATAAAATAGAAGGGGGGAAAAAAAGCATAATAAAAGCAAATAAAGAAAAGAAATGTAGGTTCTTTTCTGACAAAACGCCTTTTACCATGTTTGGTATATCCACTACATGACTATAAACCATTATTTTCCCCACTAGGGTGCAGTTGTTTTAGCTTTCTTCTACTTATTATGCTTTTTCAGGTTAACAGGGAACCTTGTTAGCTGAGGTACAACTACATGTAAGACTTCTCAAAGTAATATTTTTACTTTTTTTCTTTCATTCTTGATATCTTTAGCATGTCCTCTCCTTGCACTTAACACAAATAGCATGACTGTACTTTTAAGTTTTTTTAAAAACGTAATCTTCGGATATGTGGTGGGTACTACGACTGTATTAGCTGTCCTGTTAAAAGATGTGTTTTTGTTCACCATTGTTCACCTTCATTGAACAGATATATTTATGCTGAGATTAATGTAGAGTGAGCTATTTAGGTTAAGTTCATGCTACATTTACTTGAACAAAAGTAAGACATTTCTAATTATTTCCTTCCACTACATAATTATGCAATACTTTTTCTTGGTGTGTCACATGAAATATCAGTAAAATACATAAATATTTGTGGAATGTGACAAAAATGCAAACCTGTTTAATGCGGATAAAATATGGCCTTGATCGGATGAAACAACTAGATAGATACATTTGTGAATAAGCATCCAGAGCCTTAAGAAACCTTAGAAAATAAGCAACAATTTGTAATCTAGGTAACTTTTATAGAGTCTAAGAGAATATGGATGCTAGATTTGTGTTCAGTGCTGTACACATGGTATAATAAAAAAGAGACTTACTGGTTTAACATGTTCTCCCTTTGTGCCTGGGCTCTCCCAGGGAAGGTATCCAGGCGTTCTGTAAAGTGCCCCCAGTGGTGATGGAGGGGTCCCAATTGTAGATGGCCGGTAGCAGCTGGATGAAATGGGATGAAGAGGAGAATGCGCTCTGACAGGAGATGGTCTTCTCTCTGGAGAGGGTGAGACGTGTCTGCTAGGCGAGGACAAATCAGTCCTGGGGGACAGGCTGTGGATTGGTGAGGAAAGCTCCAGGCGGGGCGAGAGGCTACGGCTAGGGGAGCAGCTCTCATTGCTGGGGGAGAATGCTCTTGGGGAGCCCTTCCAGCCTCGCCTGGAATAAAGGGCCCTCCTCCTGCCTGGGGAAGCTGTCCGTCTGCCAGGCCACACTCCCCGCGGAGCAGGCTCCTGAGGGGGACCTGGATCCGGATCAGAGGTGCCCCGCTCTGAGCGCCTCCCACCACTGGTGTGGCCTCCTGTTGATGGATTAGTGTCCGATGAACAGGAGGATGGAGGGTCTTCATGGGATGTCGACTCCTCTTCCTCTTCCTCCTCGTCCTCCTCCTCCTCCTCATCTTCATCATCATCTTCCTCTTCATCAGATTCCTCAACATCTGAGAACTGATGCTCCTCCTGCTCTTCTGAGCCAAAAACACGCTCTTCACTGCCTGCTGTTGGAGCAGATAAGAGAAAAAAAGCAACTTTCAATCATTTCCTCTTACATTCATAGGAAATCAAAAAATCCTATTCAGAAAATCAAAAAAGACTTTACAGAACAACTTCCAATGAAAAACCCAAAGGCTGTCACGAAGGCTCGGCTCACCTTCCACCAAACAAACCTCTGCTTTAAATAGACTGAGAATGAAAAGGATGGAATTCAATTGAATAGGTCTTTTCAAAAACTATCTCTGCAGCCTTGTGAATGGAGGTATCGGTTCGTCCTTGGCTGAGCTCAGCTCGGTCTGTCACCGAGAGGAAGTGCAGAAGACAAAGCCACGGAGGAGACAGTGAGATGCTTGACTGGAAGACAAATGGAAGCGGCCGCCTCGGTTCAGCTATACTCCATTCTTAAGAAGAAGTTTTAGGAGCCAGGCTCCTGCAACAACTACACTGGAAGAATGGGACTCAGACCTTATTCTTTGATTTATTTATCTCACCCTTCTCCATATCCCTTATGCAACATCATCAGGCCGGAGAATAGAACATGCTGTTGCATAAGATGTCAGGCCCGAGCAGCTTCTATGCTTCACATGCAGGAGTTCACACAGCTGTGTCCCACCGGAGTGGAAGCAGAAACGCGTGATGTGCCTTCCCATTCTGACTGAAGTACCTGTTTCCTCGCTCTCTGGATCGTCCAGCGACGCCTCAGACACCCCTACTGCCTGGCATTTTTTCCCGTGAGCCTTTGACTTCATGTGTTTTGTAAGGTTCCCTGGAAAAGAGTTTGAAAGCTACTTTTAACTCACAGCGTTTGAGGAAAATATTTCTAACAGCTGAGCTAAAATATGCTCAGCTGAACAAAGCTCAATTCACAGAGCACTCATTTTTGGCTTACCTTTGGTTTTGAAGGCAAAGTTGCAGTGTTTACAGATGTATGGGCGGACATCGGTGTGCGTTCTGATGTGCTTTTTCAGCATGCTGGGCTTCTTGCAGCGAATGCCGCACTCTCCACATATGTACTTTCCTCGGCCACGACCTCTCACATAGACGTAGTCATCATTGGATTTGTAGCTAAAGCAAGAAGAAGAGAAACAAAAGATAAGAAAAAAAAGAAAAAGTTCCATTGCTTTGAAAAGTTCCATTGTGTTGAACTATTTATTCAGATAGTTGGTTACTCAGTCCCTGCTTTCCTAACTGATATGCACAGCAATGGCAGAAGTCCAGTTCAGTTATACTAAAATCTAATCATAACTGGGATAAATAAAGAAACAGCAAAAATATGTCAGAAAGAAATCAATTGTTTGTAGATACTTTTTTAGTTTGAGGAATCAAAACTCCCATTAAGCTAAAAGCCAAATATCTTTGAGAACCCAAATATTGGATTATAAAGTATACAGTATGATAATTTCTAACAAATGTATTCTTAGATTATTAGTATTTGAGTCACTAATTACTGTTTTGTGTGCAGGGCTTACCAGTGTTGTAATCAAGACCACACCAAACAAGAGCAAGGAGTACCGAGAGAAAACCATTTTGAGGCCAAGACCAATACATATAAGACACATAAGATCTTGGTCAGGTTTCAGCCTCTAAATGTCTTTGCTTTGTCTCGGTACTCCTTTTCTTGGTTGGTGTTGTCTTGATTACAACAGTAGGGCTTGCAACTTGTGTATGCATGTCATTTTGTTGGTTTAATTAATCTGGGTTTAGTTTAAAACACTGTATATTTATCATTTCAAAGGGAAAAAAATGATTATAATAATGCAGCAAGGGACAAAACAACCCACTGGGATAATTAAAGGCTCCACCAGACAGAATTAAAAAAAAGAAATCCCCAAAATGAAATAATTGTCTACGTTTGTCTGAACAATCTGCTTTTTATTTAAAAATGCTGTCCTTAGTGAAACAGAGAAAGGCTGCTATTGCTTTCTATCTGTTGTAAACTGTTATGTCTTCTGTCCTCGGGTACGCCCAGACAGCTTTGTGTATAAGAAAGCTTTACAGAGAAAAGCTGGAACTCCTGTCCTCACAATACACAGCAAAGAATGAAGCATGAAAAGTATTTTTTGTTTTTCTCAAAATAATAAAAAAAAAATCTTGAACTGAGCAGGAAAGTCAGATACTTTGCCAATGGAATAAGACAATATAAATTTAAAATAAGCAAAAAAAAAACAACAACAGAATTTTTTTTTTTCCAGCTGCATAAGAGCTATTGGCCTTACTTTAGGTGAAAAAATACTAATTCCAATGAAAAATTTACTTACTCATATTAAGGACAAACACACTTATTTAAGAAATCGTTTGCTTAATTTTAGATCATTTTTGAAGTTTATCATATGTTCAATTGAAAAATCTTTTGTAGGAAATAAACTTGATCCTGTCTGGCATGCAAAGTTAGGGACAATTACCAGTAAACTACATGTAAAACATGTTGCCTTAAATACAGCTGAAACCAAATGTTTTTATAGAATCCATTGAAAGATCCTCAAAAAATTAACTTTTTTTTATTTCCAATATACCAAAAATACTGAGAATTATACATTTTTACTGAGAGTTCATAATTTAACACCATCATGGGTTTATAATAAAGAAATGGCCCAACATATGGATCCTTAAGTAACCGTGCTTCAGTTACCATCCTATGGCATCAAGAGGGCACATTTTTGCAAAACAAATTCAAATCTGAGTGAGGAGCCCAGATGTGTCAGCCTAATGAACGCTCTGCTCAGAACGATATGTTGGACCAATACCCCTACTAATTGCTTGCCAAGATAAAAATGAAAATATGACTGCAGTATGACTATAAGTTTTCTTAAAGTTAAGATTTAAAACTCCAATAGTATCTCTAAAGTCACTTCGTTAAATCAAATAGGATTTGATTAATAGGTGTGTTTATGGCTCTTTCATTTATCTGAGTTTAAAGGTCCCTCTGTGTCAGTTTTATTCTGTACATTCAAAGTAAAAAAAACTATGATGTTCACCATTAAGTGCACATTTGGTTGTGATATTCACAGAATGAAAATCCCAAATCTGACCTAAACGTTATCTCAAAAGCCCAGTGAGTGTTCTCTTTTGCTCCAATAAAAAAAATGTATCACAGCAGCTATAACAACAATGATGGATGTGGACGCCACATGAATGCAGAACACACATTCACTGGAACTAAAAAAACAAAGCTTTCTTTGTCGAGGTGGGTTGGGGAAGCCCCACCAAATGCCCAGAAGCACAGACTCCCTTGGCCTTACCCTCCACTACACTTAGGGAGCACAAAGAATACCAGCTATTCTGCTGGAGATCGGCTCAACCCTGCCAACAACAGCAGCAACATCAGAGAGGGAAGGGAAGCCTGGCTTCAGCCAACAACCTAAAATAGACACTACATAATAAAAAAATCAAGCAACATATTTGTGTCGAGGCTATAAAAAGATGTTTATGCACAATCTCGATGTTTACCAAGAGACTATTTGCAGACCCGGCGGACCACATATCTTCTATATCTGAATGAATTGTCGTCTATGAAAAACTCCTGTGCCCGTCTGGCTGCACAAGAAGAGATGTACAATTCATTCTAAGCTGTAAACACCCAGTGTGTACCGACTGTGTTTAATTACAGGATACGCACCACAGCTACAAAACTCTCCGTTGTTCGACAGAACTGGCAAGACGAAAAAACAACAAACTGTTGCACAACTGTAATAGACTCTAAGCAGCGACACTGAGCTGGATAAATTCAGGACCTGGTTGCTGCAGAAGTAGCGCAACTTTCTTATAATACAGTTAAAAGTAACTGCTGGCAGGAGGGTGATTTAAATACTCTGCACCTCTGATAGATTCAAGTGACACTCAGGTTTTGTAGACCTAAGATCCATTTTTAATAGAATATTTTAGCTATATATTCAGTAGGATTTAAATAAACTTAAGTTAAATTATCCATGGATACTGCACAGTGTTTAGCCAAAATGTCTTTAATCTTTAAAATTTTTTATTTTGTTTTTTTATATTACAACCACAGACCCCAATATATTTGTTCGTTTTTTTTTTTTTTTTTTTTTTTTATTTATCCCCACCGAAAGGGTCGCTAGAAGAGCGAGACTTGGTTACAACTCAGTGTCCAAATGTTGTTTGTTTATTTTCTTTCTTGATTTCACACTTGAAACACAGCAGGTTATAAACCTGTGGAAAACACCAAAGTTGTGCTATACATTAGATGCCATGTTCAGATATCCATATAAATACACATAAATGTATCCATAAGCTATAAACTCTTATTTAGACACACACCATAAAGCGTCAGTAACTACCGTATAAAGATGTGCAGCTTGTATAAATAATTCATATAAATACAATTCCTCATTAAAACATAGCCAACAATATCTATAAATATAAACAATAGAATGCACAACAGCAGACACTACACTTAATCCATTTCATTACATACAAACACCAGAGCTACCACTGCAAAAAGCAGCTTAAAATAACAACAGGAGCCCATTTACAAATGCTAGGTGAGTGAACCACATCTCCCATCATGCATTACAGGAAACGACTACGACTTCTGCCCGACTACAACATCCAGAGTGCACCGCGAATCAGGAAGTAAGCGCATAGCGTCAAACGCGCTTCGTTTCAAAAGTTTGTACCATCAACTCAGACTAATAAACTTTAACAGTAATCGGCGGATTAAAACAATGCACTCGCCAAGCGACCACAGTGAAAAAGTTATAAACATCCTACCAGTTAAAGGGCAACAACAGTCGATCAAGCAGTTTAAAACAACCAGCGAGAGAATATTAAAACCCAGCACCTTACCGGTGATGTGCGTCGCTCTTCCAGCCATGCAATTGGATTCTGTCTCTGTGCGTGCACGCTCCTGTTTATCTACGCATCACTAGGAACACTACATCCAACGGCAAGCCAGCACACCAAACCAGGTAAGTGCCACCTCCCACCTAATCAGCTGTGCTGCGTTACACCTGATCAGGGGCGGATCTAGGATTCTAGGAGATCAGGGGCTTAGCCCTGAGGGTGCAGATGTTGACTCCTTTTTTCCATCTTTTTTTTTTTTGCCGCCTCGCACACAAAACCATAATTTGTGTGTACTTTAATTTACGCAAGCAGAGAGGCGCTGAGAACCGTCTCATCCAACCCAATCAACTTTATTTATATAGTACATTTAAAACAGAAACATGTTGACCAAGTGTTGCACATATAAAATACATAATAAAATAAAAAAATCATAAAATAATATAAGAGAACAATTAAAAAATATAATAAATACAATGAAATGAAATGGGGAAAATCAGCTAAAACATTAAACAGCACACAGTTCCTTAACTGTGCTTATTCCTCTCTTCACCAACAACAAATCATGTGGATTTGTTGACATGTGTGCATTATTTGCCAAAATTAAAGGAGGGGAACCATATATTTTAGCTGACTGAAATAATCTGTTCCCCCTTTTATGATCTTTATCAAATGTATTTTCTGTTATTTATTTATCTAAAAATTTACAAAAAAAAGTTGAAACTAAAACCACTGGACTATGTTTTCCTCCAGACATTTTAAATTAAGAATTAAAAATACATTTCATAAAGATCATCAAACCAACAGTGAGATTTATTTGAACTATTTTGGATTTCAAAATATTAAGTAATAAATGTTTCAAACATAATATATGAAAAATAATGGAGGATTTGTTTCTTTTTTTCCCATGGGGGAATGGATTATATCAGGTGGCTAAAATATTTAATTCCCCTCTCATAACTCTGGCAAAAAATGATCAAATGTATTCCAAATCCACAGAGTTTGTTGTTGATGAAGAGAGGAATAAACACAGTTAAAGTGTTGCAGGTGAATTAACACCCCCCCCCCCCAATAAATAAAGAGCAACTGTTTCCAAATTCCCAAAAATTGTTATGTGTGATATCATGTCAAATACTAAAAATTCCCTTAATCCAGTAATCTCTCATATTTCACATTGCCCTTTAAAAACAAAACGGCGTAAGAAGACCTCGTCTACTTATTTATTTTACAATTTTTTAAACAACAGCTGTCGTTTAAACTTGATGCTA